CCCTCACACGTTTCGTGGCCCCACAGGGAGCTCCACCGAAGGCCCCAGCGCTGCCGCCCGCACGCGTCACGCACACCCAATTCGGCACACTCCGCATACGCTTCGTGGCCCCATAGGGAGCTCCACCGAAGGCCCCAGTGCTGCCGCCCGCACGCGTCACGCACACCCAATTCGGCACACCCCTCACACGTTTCGTGGCCCCATAGGGAGCTCCACCGAAGGCCCCAGTGTTGCCGCCCGCATGTGTCACGCACACCTAATCCGGCACACCCCTCACACGTTTCGTGGCCACATGGGGAGCTCCACCGAAGGCCCCAGTGCTGCCGCCCGCATGCGTCACGCACGCCCAATTCGGCACACCCCTCACACGTTTCGTGGCCCCATAGGGAGCTCCCCTGAAGGCCCCATTGTTGCCGCCCGCATGCGTCACGCACACCCACTTCGGCTCACCCCTCACACGTTTCGTGGCCCCACAGGGAGCTCCACCGAAGGCCCCAGTGCTGCCGCCCGCATGCGTCCCGCACACCCAATTTCGGCACACCCCTCATTCGTTTCGTGGCCCCATAGGGGCTCCACCGAAGGCCCCAGTTTGCCGCCCGCATGCGTCACGCACACCCATTTCGGCACACCCCTCACACGTTTCGTGGCCCCATAAGGAGCTCCACCGAAGGCCCCCAGTGCTGCCGCCCGCATGCGTCACGCACACCCAATTCGGCACACCCCTCACACGTTTCGTGGCCCCATAGGAGCTCCACCGAAGGCCCCAGTGCTGCCGCCCGCATGCGTCACGCACACCCAATTCGGCACACCCCTCACACGTTTCGTGGCCCCAGAGGGAGCTCCACCGAAGGCCCCAGCGCTGCCGCCCGCATGCGCCACGCACACCCAATTCGGCACACCTCGCACACGTTTCGTGGCCCCATAGGGAGCTCCACCGAAGGTCCCAGCGTTGCCGCCCGCATGCGTCACGCACACCCAATTCGGCACACCCCTCACACGTTTCGTGGCCCCACAACGAAACTCCACCGAAGGCCCCAGTGGCGCCGCCCAGATGCGTCCCGCAAACCCATGTCGGCACACCCCTCAGACGTTTCTCGTGGCCCCATAGGGAGCACCACCGAAGGCCCCAGTGCTGCCGCCCGCATGCGTCACCCGCACCTAATTCGGTACACCCCTCACACGTTTCGTGGCCCCACAGGGAGCTCCACCGAAGGCCCCAGTGCTGCCGCCCGCATGCGCCCCGCACACCCAATTCGGCACACCCCTCACACGCTTCGTGGCCACATAGGGAGCTCCACCGAGGGCCCCAGTGGGCGTGCCCGCATGCGTCACGCACACTCAATTCGGCACACCCCTCACACGGTTCGTGGCCCCACAGGGAGCTCCACCGAAGTCCCCACTGGCGGCGCTCACATGCGCATGTGTCCCGCACACCCATTATGGCACATCCCTCACAGGTTTCGTGGCCCCATCTTCCACCAGAGGCCCCACTGGCGGCGCTCACATGCGCCACCCACATCCACCCAATTCGGCACACCCCGCACACGTTTCGTGGCCCTATAGGGAGCTCCACCGAAGGCCCCAGGTGCCGCGCCCGCATGCGTCCCCGCCACCCATCCCGGCACGCCCCTCACAACAACAGGTTTCGTGGCCCCATAGGGAGCTCCACCGAAGGCCCCAGTGCTGCCGCCCGCATGCGTCACCACCCGCACCTAATTCGGCACACCCCTCACACGCTTCGTGGCCCCATAGGGAGCTGCACCGAAGGCCCCAGTGGCGGCGCTCACATGCGTCCCCGCCACACATACCAGTACACCCCTCACGCGCTTCGTGGCCCCATAGGGAGCTTCACCGAAGGCCCCAGTAGCGGCGCTTAAATGCGTCTCCGCCACCCATCCCGCCCCCCCCCCCCGCAGCAGCATCATGCTTCGGGGACCCATAGGGAGCTCCACTGGAGGCCCCAGTGGCGGCCCTCACATGCGCTTCCGCCACCCATGTCGGCACGCCCCGCGCGTGTTTCATGCCCCCATAGGGAGCTCCACCGAATGCCCCAGTGCCACCCATCTCGGCACACCCCTCACACGTTCCGTGGTCCTATGAGGAGTTCCACTGAAGATGAAACCCGCAGCTGCGGTACTGTCAACTGCATATGGTTGGTTTCTTTTTGCGGCCATTTTTTTTGTCTCTCTCTCTCTCTCTCTCTTTTCTACCTCTCTCTCTCTCTCACTGACACTAGGCCCCCCCCCTCTCTCTGTGTCTCCCTCTCTCCCTTCTCTGTCTCTCTCTCCCCCCCTCTCTCTCTGTCTCTTTTGCTTTGTGCTTCTCCCTCTGTCTCTCTCTCTCTCTCATGTTCTCTTTCTCTCGATATTTGTCCCTGTCGCTCTCTCTCTCTCTCTCTCGCTATGGATTTATATCGTTGGCTATCATGTTTGTTATCTCTCTCTCTATGTCTATATGTTTCTCTCTCTCTCTCTCCTTTTCCTCTCCGTCTCCCTCTTTCAGTTCAGTTGTTAAATCAATTTCTCTCTCTCTCTCTCTCTGGCTCCCTCTGTATCTTACCAATTCATAATGTTTCTCTCTCGCTCTCTCTCGCTCTGTCTCTCCATCTCCCCTTCTTTTTGTTGTACCTCTCTTTGTTTCCCTCCCTCCATTTCTTACTTGTCCACCCTCAATACGTTTTATCGGTCTCTATGTTTGGGCGCGCAACAAGCTCGTGCCACTCATCAGGCTCGAGCGCTGCGGAGTGCCTTTCCCATCAGTTGGGAAGCTGTCAGGCCCCCCTCCCTGATGAGCGGAGACTGAGCCGGATGTGCTGCTTATCCCGCCGACGGGAGAGGGGCACGGCTGCGAGGCACCGTTCGTGAATTGTGTAGAGGGCCCGGTAACAGATCTGCGGCATCAGGCTTGCAGCGCGCGCGGTCCCAAACGCCCACCATGGTTGTGGTACCGTTTCGTCTGCCATGTGCTGCTCAGCTAGCGGGGCGTGAGGTTTCTGACAGGCGCGTGCGGAAACGGCAGTGGAAGGATACATCACCGATCCTGGGCCCAGGGTGATCCTGGGCCAGGATCGGTGGTGGTGTATAGTTGGTATGGCCTAAACTTTTCAGAGCTCCGCGCAAAATGTTTGGATCTGCGCTGAGCCCCCCTTGGGCGGCGCCTCCGGCGCTGTCCCTGGCGCTCCAGCGCCGATCCAAGGAGTCCGCGTGGAGCTCGGAGAGCCTAAGGGTATGGTTTTCCTCCTTCGTTTCCTTCCTGTGGACAGGGCGGTGCGGCTACAACGTGCGTGCATGCCTGACGAATCCAGGGCGGTCGTCGTGTGCCAGACTTGATCCGTGTTGGGGGTTGCGGCGGGTTACGGAGGCGTGAGCAGACAGCACCTTGGAACTACCTGCACAGCAGTTGGCCTCGATTCCTCATTGATCCTATCCTCCTCCTCCTCCTCCTCCTCCTCCTCCTCCTCCTTGTTCCCATTGTCCCACCTGTCCCGGTTCTAATGCCACCACCGCCACCGTCACCCGTTCCTCCACTTCGTCGCCACTGTTCCCCACCTCATACCTGTCCCCTACCCCGCTTCCCTTCTTCCCAGGAGGAGGAGGACGAGGAGCAGGAGGAGAAGGAAGATCATCGACAGGGCAAAACATCGCAATGGAGCTCTGGCTCGGGGTCGGCGTGGGATCGACGAGCTCTGCGCGCTGCTTCTGCACTCTGACCTCGCCAGCAGCACAGGTGGCCTGTTGGGAGCCACGTTGGCTGACCCTCCCTCTCCTCCTCCTCCTCCTCCTCCTCCTCCTCCTCCTCCTCCAACGGATGCCAATGTGCGTCATGGACGATGGCGGCTTCGCTGGAGCAGCGTACACGGCTAGCTCAACGCTGGATGCCGCTCGGTCTGCCGCGGAGACCAATTGCCAGCGCTGATGACGACGAGAACGTCTAAGACGTCTGGGATGAGTCGGACGAGGTCGCCACACAGTCGGGGTATGAGGCTTATGTACGTGTCTGGGCACAGCGAGAAGCAGGAGTCCGGCATGCGCGCACGAAGGGATCTCTGGCGGACCAGACCGGTGGACCCGCGGGGCTTGCTTCTGGGACCCGGACCCGTGCCGCACGTTCGGCTCGACGTGCGCACGCACCACGAAGGACGTGGTCCGAGCGCGAAGATGCACTCGGTTCACGTCCGTCGTGGTCCGTGCGCATCTTCGCCACGAAGGACGCGGTCCGACCACGAAGGACGTGATCCGAGCGCGAAGGACGTGGACCACTCTCGCCGATCACTCGTGGTCGGGATGCACCGCATCGCGCGCACGCGCACCTCTCGGAGGCCCGCGCGGAGATCCCCCGGCATCGGCGCGGCGCCCCCCTCCCCCGAGCGCGTGAGAAGCGCGCCGGGCCTGGCGCCCCTGCCCCGGCGCCTGGGGAGCCCCGGCACCGGTCCGGGAGATGCGCGCGGGCCTCCGAGAGGTAGAGCGCGTGGTGCTTCGCGCCTCGCGCAGCGCGGGGCGCGAAGTGAGGCGCCCATGCTCGTGCCTGCCTGCCTCCCTCGGGCCCCTCCGCCCCGTCCCCCTCCGTCCTTCCCCCCCTTCTGTGCCCCATCCCGGCGCCTCCCCGTTCTCCTCCCGCCCTGGGTCCCAGTCAGGCCGTCGTTTTCTCCCGCCGTCCTCCTCCCGCTTCTCAGTCCTCAGCTTCTTCCCTCTCTTCCTGGAGGTGCCGAGAGCAGGCTGCGATGCCGAGCCCACGCAGCGCCCCCCCCCCCTCACTCACGAGGCGCCCGAAAAGGAGCGCAGAGGCCAGCCCTGCGGGCGCGTGCAATGCGGTGGCCCTTTGTGACCCTCGCTCGCGCCGCCAGCACCCTCTATCCTTCACCTCCACCTCCTCGTCCTGCCCTCTGCTGCCCCTGCCCCCCAAGCCACCCCAACCCGACCCGTGGGCCCCAAGTTGCCCTCCACTCCGAGTGGGGGGGGAGGCCCAGAACATTGGGAAAGACACGGATGGATTCCGCGCGCCTCCAGACCCGGAAGCTGGGGCGCACCGGCTCTTCCCGCTCCCCGCGCCGCGTGGCGCCCCCGCGCCTTGGCCGCCCAGTGGCAGCGTAGCCGCCCCTTCTCGCCAACGCCCGCCGTTCCTCGCCGCCGGCCGGGAGCCATGTCCTTTGTGGAGAAGGTGGTGGGGGCGGCGTCACAGGCGCTGCCCACCCCTCCCTCGTCCATGATGCCTCCCCCGCCCTCCTCTCCTGCCCGATCCCTCGCTCCCTGCCCCCGCCCCTTGCCCCCTCCCCTCTTCTCCCGCCTTCTCCTCCCCTCCTCGTCCTCTTCCCCTTGCTCCTCATCCTCCTCCTTGTCCCGTCTCGTTCCTCTTCTTCCTGTCTCGTTCCTCCTCGTCCTCCTCCTCTCTCGCTCCCCCTCCCCTCCTCGTCCTCCTCCACCTCTTTCGTCCCCCAATCCTCCTCATTCTCCTCCTCCTCCTCCTGCCCCTCCTCGTCCTTTTGCCCCCTTTTCCCTTCCTGCTTCCTCTCGCTCTCCCTCCACCCCGCTCCCCTCTCCCTCGTCGAGGGCGCCGTGGGCGCGGTCGTGGCGGCCAACCTGAGCGCAGTGACAGAGCCGGACGGGCAGGGGGGGGCGGCGCGAGTGCCCGCCCGGCAGGGCAGCGCGCTGCCCGCAGGCAGCACCTCCAGGCAGTTCCGTTATGTCGGGTGCGTCCCCCTACAGGGCGATTTTCAACGAAAATTGAATACATATTCCAAAAATGCCCCCAAAAGGCCAACATATATCAGCAAAAATAGTACCCTGATTATTTTTGGATTGTTTTTTTGGCATTTTTCTGTTCTTTTTTTCGTTGTCGAAAATCCCCTTGTAGGGGGACAGGCCCGACTTCAGCTTTGCCCGCAGACAGAACCTCCAGGCAGTTCCAGCTGGCCCCAGCAGGCCCCAACGGGCCATTTGGTTACCTTTGTGTAGTGGCATTGTGCTCTGGGAAGGGTTTGGTCGCCCCGGACCCGACGGAGGAGGTAGCAGGCTCAGGGGCGCGAGCACGATCCCTTGGCAAACCGCACAGTGCTAGCCAGGGGGGAGGCGTGCTCATGCAGATTGTGGAGGTGCCTCGAGCGAGAGCGCGGCAAGCAGGGAGGAGAAATGGTGGAGGGAAGAGCTGCGAGGTGCTGCGCGGGAAGTGGTCCGGCTCGTTTCGCCGGAGACACCCCTTTCATTCGGAGCGCTGAGAGTCTGGCCCGTTTCGCTCGAGAGATGCTCGCAATGCGGGGTTCGGAGATGCTGCGGGCGAGGTGTCTGGTCCGTTCTTTTTGAGACAACCTCGAACTGTCGGGCTCTGGGACGCAGGAGAAAGGAGGGAGGAGGAGTCGTACCCAAACGAATCATGTGATTACACGTCTGTTGTAAAACTGTGCTGTGGGAGGGGTCTGGGCGCCGCCTGAGACGTCCTCGCAACGTTGAGGTCCCAGATGTCGCACGCGAGATGGTCCAGCCGATTTCACCTGAGACAGCCCCGCCATTCGGGGTTCAGAGATGCTGCGCGTGAGGTGGTCGAGCCCGTTTCGCTTGAGACATCCTCGCAATTCTGGGATTCTTGAAAACGTGCGCGAGGTGGTTCAGTTGTTTTCGTTTGAAAAATCATCAGAACCTTTTGGGCTTTCAGAGAATGTCCGCCGGGTGGTCTGGCGCGTTTCGCTGGAGACACCCTCGCAGTTCTGGGTGTAGAGATGCCGCGCGAGTTCTGGCCCATCTCGTTTTAGACATCCTGGCAACCTTCGACAAAGGAGAGGTTCGAGAAGGTTCGAGAAAGAGAGGTTCGAGAAAGGAGAGGTTCGGGAAGGTTCGAGAAGGTTCGAGAAAGGAGAGCTTCGAGAAGGGAGAGGTTCGAGAAAGACATTCCGGCCCATCTGGTTCGAGAAGGAGGAGGGAGAAGCGAGGAGAGGGCCAGACCCGAACGAACCAGTGGACCCCACTCCTGTTGGCAGGTTGCGCTCTGGGAAAATGCCCAGGCGCCCCATGGCCCGACAGAAGAGGCAGCCGGCGCCGAGGCACGAGCACGATCCCTTGGTAAATTTCAAAGGCTGATCGGGGGGGGGGGGGGGGCAATGCTTGTGCAAATCGTGGAGATGCCTCGGCTAGGGCGCGGCGAGCGGGGAGGAAGCAAGGATGGGAGAGGAGAGCGGGAGGAGGAGGGAGCTCCGAGATGCTGCGCGAGACGGGACTGATACGCTCATGCCCTACCTGTTCGAGGGCAGCCGTAATGAGGCTCCTACGAGAAGGAGGCTCATACGCTACCTGTTCGAGGGCAACCGTAATGAGGGTGCCTCCTGGAAACGGCATCGAAAGTGCGATGGCATCCCTGATATGACGGAGGAAGCAGGACGAGGAGGGAGGAGGAGGAGGAGTGAATGAGGAGGAGGAGGAGGAGAAGGAGAAGGAGGAGTAGGAGGAGGATGATGATGATGATGATGCTGATGCTGATGCTGATGATGATGATGATGATGATGATGATGATGATGATGATGATGACGATTATGATGCTGATGCTGATGCTGATGATGCTGCTGATGACGATGATGCTGATGCTGATGTTCGCGATGACGATGATGATGGTGGTGATGATCATGATCATGATCATGATGATGATGCTGATGATGATGATGATGATGATGATGCTGATGATGGTGGTGATGATGATGATGATGGTGATGGTGCTGGTGCTGGTGCTGGTGAGGCTGATGCTGATGTTGATGTTGATGCTGGTGATGATGATGCTGATGATGATGATGATCAAGGTGGTGACGATGATGAGGTTGATTATGATGATGATGATGATGATGATGATGATGATGATGATGATGACCATGATGATGATGATGATGATAGTGGTGACGGTGGTTCTAATGATGACGGCGAGGATGGTGATGCCGATGTTGATGATGTTGTTGATGCTGATGTTGATGAGGATGAGGATTGTGGTTATGCTGATGCTGATGGTGATGGTGACGGTGATTGTGGTGGTGATGATGATGTTGACGATGTTGATGCTGATGCTGATGCTGCTGATGCTGATGGTGATGCTGCTGCTGATGGTGATGGTGCTGCTGATGGTGATGCAGTTGATGATAATGCTGATGCTGATGCTGGTGATGATGATGATGATGCTGATGAGGAGGCGGAGGAGGAGGAGCAGAAGGGCGAGGAGGAACGCGGGGACGAGGAGGAGGAGGAGGAGGAGGAGGAGGAGGAGGAGCATGGCGATCAGGAGGCAGAGGTGGGTGATGATGACGAGGAGGAGGAGGCGGAGGAGGAGCATGAGGAGGAGGAGGAGGTGGAGCACAGCCAGGAGGAGGAGGACGATCAAGAGTATACGTCTATGGTGGGGGTCGCTGACGAGGTAGAGGACCAGGAGGAGGAGGAGGAGGAGGAGGAGGAGGAGGAGGAGGAGGATCACCAGGAACATAGGGATTTCGAACGAAGGGGGTGACCAGGAGGAGTGAGATGAGGCCATACAGGAGGAAGAGGAGGAGGAGGAGGAGGCGGAGGAGGAGGAGGTGGAGGAGGAGGAGGAGGAGGAGAAGGAGAGAACGGGGGAGGAGGACCAACAGCATCAGGACGAGGAGGATGACGAGTTGGAGGAGGAGGAGGAGGACGACGACGATCACATGGTGTAGTGGAAGCGTGAGGGCGAGGGAGAGACGGATGAGTACATGGATGCGGGCGAGGAGCAGGACGACGACGATGACAACAAGCTCGACAACGACGCCGAATGCGCAAGCGGATCAGAAGCGGGAGAGCGCGCGAGCAATCTTTGGAGCCCCGTTCGGTCAAACCACACAGCTTGGAATACTGAAGTCTGGCTACAACGGTGTGGTCGGCCTTCAGGGCGTCCGAGAGGGTCCTAGATGCCCCGACAATCATCCCCAGACGGCCCACGTTGCCGCCATGATGGCCCCAAGTACCTCACGGGGGAGACAAGATCGCCAAAGAGGCTCCCCCAGGCGATTTCCCAGAGGCGCACAGGACAGCCCCACGAGATGCCAGGAGGGGGAACCCGCCGCCCAAACTCGTTCCAGGGCGCCCTCGGGGCGGCCCAGGAGGGCTCCGAGGCAGCAGTGGAGCGCTCCAAGGCGGCTCCGGATGGTGTCAAGACGGACGGCCGAAGAGGCCTCCAAGACGCCTCCAGAGGGCTCCCAAAGAGCCTTCACCTCGTCGCCTTATAGGTCGTTGGGGCGTCCAAGATGGTCCACGATGCTCCGAATATCATCCCAAGACGGCCCAAGCGCCTCCACGACGGCCCCAATGCATCCCAAGAGGGGGCCAGGATTACCCAAGATCCCCGATACGCCCTCGGGAAGCCTCCGAGAGACGCTGCAACCGAAAATGCAGAAAAGATGGTGGAGGTCTCGTCTCCCCGAAGCCTCACCCAAGGAAACTTCAGGGGACCTCCTGGCGGAAGAGGTCGGGGGCCTTGGTCTGGCCGGGCGGAGATGCCGCGTGCCGTGTCCCGGCGCCTTGTATAGAGCAACCCCAGGGAGCTCTCGCCAGGCTCCCGGGGCGCCTCGGAGGCGCTCCAGACGACCCGAGATGCTTCCAAAGCGCGCTTCGCAAACTTCAGATGGTCTCCGAGAGATCTCAGCGAGTCAGAGCGTGAATTGCCCACCCCGCTTGCGCTTCCAGGCAGAACCAAGCCGTACCACGCGCCTCCTCGTCAAGCGGCCTGACCAGTACAGGCTGCAATTTGGCATCGTTTGGTATCTCTTGGAAGCGAGGGTGGTCAAAAGCGAGGTAGGTTTGTTTTCCCCCTAGCGAGGGAAGAGGTCGCGGGCGTTGGTCTGGCCGGGCGGAGGTGCCGCGTGCCGTGTCCCGGCGCCTTGTAGAGCAACCCCAGGGAGCTCTCGCCAGGCTCCTGGGGCGCCTCGGAGGCTCGGGCCGGACGAAAGGGGGGGATTGGGAACCCTGACCTTCCAGGAGGGCTAAAAAATGGCGCGCGACTTAAATACCTATCCCAGAGCAATTCTACGTCTTGTTTCTAGGCTGTTTCGTCTCGTTTTCTAGGTTTTGAGGTCTCTGGAAGGTCAGGGAAAAGGGGAGTTACGAAATTAGCTGCATGCAGCTGGTTTCGGCCTCACCGAGGGGCCCATTCCTCGATACATGGGCGCCTCCCGGCGCCGGGAGGCGCCGGGAAAATCAGCCACGTGAGCTGATTCTCACCCCCCCCCCTGCTATCCCCCCCTTTCGCCCGACCCGAGAGGCGCTCCAGACGACCCGAGATGCTTCCAAAGCGCGCTTCGCAAACTTCCGATGGTCTCCGAGAGATCTCAGTCAGCGAGGGCCTCGACGGCTCAAGAGCCCCCCAGGGAGGGCTCCGGGTGGCCTCAAGACGGCTCGAGCGTCTCCACGGACGGCCCACGAGGCGCGCGAGGCCCTCGGGAGCACCCTCACGATAGCTTTACGTCGGGCCTGTCCCTCTACAGTGGGGATATTCAAAAATACTCCAAAATAGTCTGGGGGCTATTTTTTCAATATTTTTGGACCACTTTTGTGCATTGTTTTGAGTTTTTTGTGTTTCCGTATTTGTTTTACCATTTTGGTGTATTTTTTAAGTATGTGTTATTTTTCGTCGAGAATCCCCCTGTAGGGGGACACGCCCGACTTAAAGATAGCTCCGGGAGTCCAGATCATAAAGTCTTCAATTGTTTTGCCAAGGATTTCTGTGTTCCCGTCCAGTCAGCCTTCCGACGGACCAGGCCGCCTCTGGAGGCCCCACAAGTCCCCCCAAGACGGCCCCAGAGGCCCCCAAGAGCGCCACGCGACGGCCCAGGACGGCGCCGGGACGGCGGAGGAAGGCCCCCAGACGGCCCGGTGCGGACCCAGAATCCCGGGAGGGCCCCACAACGGGCGGAGGCGGCCCCCGAGAGGGGCTTGCAAGAATGCAGTCCCGCCTCCCTCCTCCCTCCTCCCCCCTCCTTTACAATAACTCAATATGAATACTACTCTCCCTCTTCCCCTGATGGCGTGCTGGGAGTAGCCGACCCCCCCCCGCGTCCTGTTTTCCTACACAGGATTCCCGGGAGTTGGGTTTTCGCCTGCATTTTTTTTCAAAATGCTGCTCTCGCTGAGGCGCCGGCCTCATTTCCGTGCTTCCGCTCGTTCCGAATCGTGCTCCCGCTGCAGCGCTGGCCTCATTTCCGCGCTTCCGCCCGTTTCGACTCGTGCTCCCGCTGCAGCGCTGGCCTCATTTCCGCGCTTCCGCCCGTTTCGACTCGTGCTCCCGCTGCAGCGCTGGCGTCATTTCCCGTCCCATGCCACAGCACACGAGCACACACGCACACACACACAACACACACAACACACACACACAACACACAACACACACACACACAACACACACAACACACACACACCACACACCACACACACACACCACACACACAACACCACCACCACCACCACCACCACCACCACCACCACCACCACCACCACCACCATAACCACCACCACCACCACCACCACCACCACCACCACCACCATAACCACCACCACCAGCACCACCACCACCCACCACCACCACCACCACCACCACCACCACGCACGCACGCACGCACGCACGCACGCACGCACGCACGCACGCACGCACGCACGCACGCACGCACGCACGCGCACCACCACCCACTACGCACGCGCGCGCGGAGCCACAGGTCCGCTACGACACGCGTCCGCGGATAGAGAAAATCAGCGCCATGGTAAGGGATGGGAGGGAGGGGTAGGACGTCAGATATGACGCGAGCGCACCTAGCTTGTCCTCCTCCCCTCTCCCTCCTCCCCCCTCCTTTTCCTCCTCCCTCCTCCCTCCTCCCACCTCCTCCTCCTCCTCCTCCTCCTCCTCCTGGCCCCCGAGAGAGGCGGTCCCGGAGGGCCCCGAGAAAGCCGTGGATTGCAGAACACGTGAAGGTTTCTTACTGCTCGGGCGTGCTCGCTTGATGCCCAGAGGCCCCCACGGTGCCCCAGAGGCCCCGCAGCGGGGCCCGAGAGGTCTAGGGTGTTGAGGTTAAGGCGTTAGGGACTGGATGTCCGGGTCAGGTCGTCAACGTGAGGATGTTTCGGGGGAGCGTAAGACCCGGGTTTGCCAGGACTCGGGTTCGCCATCGTTTTTTGACGATCGCGCCTCGGATTTTGGCGAGGAGGAGTTTCGTGGGATGTCTGCAGCGGGAGGCCTCGTCAAAATGCAGGCTCGGCCTCGTCATTTTTTTGACGACCTCGTCGAGGATTTCCGAGTCCCTTGTACCCAGGTCTTACGTCCCCCTGAATGTTAGAGTTTTTGAGATTCGGTTTTGGGAGTTATGGTTCGGGTGTGAAGGGTCAGGGTGTCAGGGTCTGAGTGTGAGAGCGTTACGGTGCAGGTGTTACGGTTTGGGTGTTCGGGTACGGTTGTGGGCGGTCGAGCGTTAGAATCAGGATGGGAGGGTTTGGGGGTCAGGGTGTCCGGGTCGGGGTGTAAGGAACCAGGCGTTCGGTTTCGAGGGGTTGGGTGCGTGTATAGCGGAGAGGATGTTAGGTTCGGAGTGTCAGGTCTGGGACGTTATGGTTAGGGGGTGCCAGTGAGAGGGTGTTAGGATTTGGATGTTAGTATCAGGTATTGGGTTAAAGGTTTTGGGGCTCGGATGTTCGGACTAGAGCGCTTGGGTTTTCGTGTTCGGGTTGGGGAGTTTACAGTGAGGCTATCAGTGCTCCTGTGTTTGTGTCAGCCTTTAGATGTTCCGGCTAGGGTGTCAGTATGATAGGGTGTTAGGGTGCTTGGGAAAACGCCACGGGATCGGTCCCCTGCCTACTAACACCGTCTGCGGAGTCAGCTAGTACCACGCGTGCCTCGCGCGTGCTTACCACCTGTCGCCGTTTTTTGTTCACCTGCTGCTCGTCCGCATCCGCCCCGCATATGCGTCCTCGTCCTTGTGACGCGTGTCTCTGCCCTCCCTTCACCGTCGGCATGCGACGAGCCTTCGCCGTGGGAGGTGGTCAATGCCATGCTGGTGAAGCGCGTGCCTGTCTCGGAGGCCGTCAAGGAGGTGTCGGCGGAGCGCGTCTACAAGTACCTGCAGACCACGCTGGCTACGAACTTCATCAAGTTCCCGTTTTTCGAGGAGGGGCCGGGGGCGAGGAAGGGTTGTCGGCGGCCGCCGCGCGGTCCTCCCAAGTATATCCATGGGGGGATCGGAGCGAGCATCCGAGGGACTGAGGCAGAGAGGATGAGGAGGAAGAGGAGAAGGATGAGGAGGAGGAGGAGGAATAGGAGGAGGAGGAGAAGGATGAGGAGGATAAGGCGGAATAGGAGGAGGAGAAGGAGGAAGAGGAGGAGGAGGAGGAGGAGGAGATGGGGAGGAGCTCATAGGAGGAAAAGGTGCGCAAGCGTAGCAGCAAGCTGGTGGTGAGCAAGACGCACAACTGATCGTCAGAGAAGGAAAGGATACCAATACGGCTGCACGTCCCTCGTTTTCCCCTGTTTGGGCCTCCTGGGTTTCGCCTCGAGATTCGGGTCAGAACGCACCCCAGGAGAGGTCCGGGGAGTGGCGGCATCGGTACCTCTGGGGGCAGGTTGTTCAGGAGGAGGAGGATTTGCAGAGGATTTGTTCGCGCCAGAGGTTTTATTCGCCAACTTCGGCGTCGGGGGTGCCATTTCATGGCCCCAGGAGGAGGAGGAGGAGGAGGAGGAGGAGGAGGAGGCGGAGGCGGAGGCGGAGGCGGAGGCGGAGGAGGAGGAGGAGGAGGAGGAGAAGGAGAAGAAGAACGAAGAAGATGAAATATGGAATAATATCCGTAAGGGCTTCGCCCCCTGCCGCCGGCCCCCTCTCTCGGAGAATGGGCCATGGACGAGCTAAGTCATGAGGCCTTGGCGCTGTCGTGAAGAAGTATCGAAACTTCATGCGAAGCCGAGTCGCAATCAGCAAAACCAACTGATCACAGGAGGGGTTACCACACCTGGCGATTGGTAAGACGTGTATGGTTTAAGGGCTTGGTTACCACACCTTGCGATTGAAGGGCCGAGGGAGTTCTCGCAGTTTGGGTTACCACGCCTTGCGATGGATGTGCGTGATGGGTTCGAATTTCAGAAGTGTGGCAAATCCCTTGTGTTTTTGGACCCTGACCCCGCGGATCTGCGTAAGGGGTGGCGCCGAATTTCAGAAATGTGGCAAATCCCTTGTGTTTTGGGACCCTGACCCCGCGGATCTGTGTGAGGGGTGGCACCGAATTTCAGAAATGTATCAAATCCCCTGTGTTTTTGGACCCTGACCCTGCGTGAGGGGTGGCACCGAATTTCAGAAATGTTGCAAATCCCATATGTTTTTGGACCCTGACCCCGCGGATCTGCGTGAGGGGTGGCACCGAATTTCAGAAATGTGGCAAATCCCATGTGTTTTTGGACCCTGACCCCGCGGATCTGCGTGAGGGGTGGCACCGAATTTCAGAAATGTGGCAAATCCCATGTGTTTTTGGACCCTGACCCCGCGGATCTGCGTGAGGGGTGGCACCGAATTTCAGAAGTGTGGCACATCCCATGTGTTTTTGGACCCTGACCCCGCGGATCTGCGTGAGGGGTGGCACCGAATTTCAGAAGTGTGGCACATCCCATGTGTTTTTGGACCCTGACCCGCGGATCTGCGTGAGGGGTGGCACCGAATTTCAGAAATGTGGCAAATCCCCAATGTTTTTGGACCCAGACCCGCGGATCTGCGTGAGGGGAGTCGATTTCGAGCCCCCCCAGCAATTCAGACAACGCGCCCAGGGGGTGCTAAAAATCCTGTTTGGGCCTCCCCCCCCTCGCGCGGTCAATCAACTAGTTACAGTAACCAGCAAGAAGCAGAATTGTAACACTGGGAACTACAAGCTGCAACTGGTACTGGAAACTGCGAACCCGCGCCTCGCAGCCTGGTGGCCCCACAAGGGGGCCGGCGGATTAGGAGAAGAAAAAGTAGGAGGAGGAGGAGGAGGAGCCAGGCGCGACGATGCGGGGGGATACAGTCGGGCTGCTGAAATAAGGAACGCTGAGTAGGGAACGAAGCCCCTCTGTGGCTTCAAAAAGGCCTGGGTGCACGAGAAGGGCTAGAGGAACAACCACGGAAGGACGTAAGGAACATCGAGGCCCTCTCGAGTCCAAGTTGTTCCTCATTCCAGCGTCTTGGCTGTAGGCACAGGTCAGCAGGCGAAGCGCAGTAGGAAATACACTGTTCCGCCGTTTGGGGACGCCGGCCCCCAGGGCGGCCGGAAAAGTTATACCCCTACATGGCACCGGAAGGGTATGAAGTTTGCACCTTGGCCACCGTGGGACCGTTGCACCCTACATAGAGGGGGGGATGCCTCGACGCCCAATCGTCCACTGATCGCCAGCAGGGGTCTGAGAGTTCCGCCCCGCCCTGGACGGCAGTATGTGCTGTCGGGGGCCTGTCGCCGATCTATCGGCGATGTGTCGCCGATTCCAGGTCGATGTTTCCCCCCCTACGCCAGTCCCCCCTCATCGTTGCCCCTGGCAGAACAGCAGGACATGGGGAGGGGAGGACCAGAGGGAGGTCCTCCTCCTGCTCCTTTCCCCATGTCTCCTTCCTCGTCAGGAGGGAGACGGGGGGAATACCATTAGTCCAATTCGAAGTTTGATGGTGACATGAGCAGCACCAGCAGTGGGAGCAGGAGGTGGGGAGAATCACTATGGCGACGTTGAGCGTGAGAAGGACGGCAGGATTGCAGGAGAGGAGTTGCTGCATAATGTACCGCGGAGCCAGCTTGCCTGGATACCCATGTTGAGGATGGTTGACGCGATTGTTCACCAACCATCAGCTTGCAACGCCGTAGTGCAATGGAGAGGGACGTGCAGTCTGATTGGTGAGAGGGTGGGAGCGGGGGAGGGAAGGAGAGGAGAAGGGGGACGGAGGAGGGGCGAAGGGGCGGAGGAAACGTGCGCCGTATGGATGTGGCGGAGAGGGGCGGCTCCTCAGAGGAGCAAGCAGTCAGCTTAACGGTGCACTCCCGGTTAGATTCCCAGGGCTCCCCTGACCTCCAAGGCCTGCGGCTGTCCGGCACCGGCACCGGGCACGGGGGCCGCAGTCCCCTCCTCCCTTCGTCCTCCTACTCCTTCCTCCCCCCCCTTTCCCCGCCTTCCTTCCTTCCTCATTCCTCCCTCCCCTTCCTCGCCTTCCTCCTTCCCTGCCTTCCTTCTCCTGCATCCTTCCCTCGCCCCCTCCTCCTCCCCTCCTCCCAGGATGCTCCGGAGCTCCTGGGGCGCGCGGCCCGAGCCGGCCGCCGCGCCAGGGCCCTCGTGCTCGCCACGGGGCCTCGGGCCACGAGCGGAGGCGCCGAGCCACGGAGGGCGCTCGTGCGACGTGCCGCGAGCGCGAGGGGCACACGGCCAGCACTTGCCGCAGCCGCAGCCCCAGATAGGCGACGCCCTGACGATCTTCTGTACCTCCTCCTCCTCCTCCGCCTCCCTCTCCTCTTCGTCCTCCTCCGCCTCCTCCTCCTCCTCCGCCTCCTCCTCCTCCTCCTCGTCCTCCTTCGTCCTCCTCCGCCTCCTCCCCTCCTCCTCTACCTCCCCCTTCCTCCTCCTCCTCCTCCTCCTCCTCCTCCTCCTCTACCTCCTCCTCCTCCTCCTCCTCCTCCTCCTGCTCTTTCTCCCTCCCCCCCGCCTCCCATCCTCCTCCTCCTCCCTCCTCCTCCCTCCTGCTCTTTCTCCTCCCGCTCCGCCTCCCATTCCTCCTCCTCCTTCTCCTCCTTCTCCTCCCCCTCCGCCTCCTCCGCCTATTCCTCCTCCTCCTCCTCCTCCGCCTCCTCCTCCTCGTCCTCGTCCTCCGTACGCAGTCCCTGGGAGGTCTCGACCCCTTCTCGTGGGACCGGTTCGGGTTGTTTTTTGCGACGGTCCTGAGGCCCGGCTGGGCCGGGCTAGAACGAAGATACTTACATCCGTTCTGGAACGCTCTCGCAGACATTTTCCAGAACCGCCAGATCTCAGAGATTGTCGATTTATTATCATCCGATGTATGTTATCCTTGTCCTGACTTCGTCTTACCCGGCGTGGGCCCCCGGATACCGAAAACAGCGAAGAGTTTTCCGTCCTGATCATGTTCACGACGCGAGCTTGTTTGTTACGCAAAAGCAACACGCACTCAGACTCAGGGTGGGGACGGAAAGAGCTCTGGGTGCGTGTTGTCGGATGGGGGTGCCCGCTCGAACGGGAGCGCCCCCCGAGGTCCGACAACCCGCACCCATGCCCACAAACTGTAGGCCTCCTACATGTGGTCGGAGTAGACGGGGTCGGAGGATCGCGCCGCATCGCCAGTGCATCGGCGATGCGGCGCGATGTGGGGCCCAATTTTCTCCACGCCGACGTCGCCGATGCATCGCAGACGTCGCCAGTGCAGGGCCGATTCATCGCCGATGCATCGGCGAGGCACCGCCGATGCATCGGCGATGCGGCGAGATCCCCCGACCCCATCTATTCCGACCCCAACTTAGGCTTATGTCGGGCCTGTCCCCCTACAGGAGGATTTTGGGCGAAAAGTAAAAATACCCCCAAAATACCCCAAACAGGTTTTGAACATATTCAAAATATGGTCCCAGACTATTTTTGGACTATGCTTTGATTCTCTCTGGGACATTCTTCTTTTTCGTCGAAAATCCGCCTGCAGGGGGACACGCCCGGTTTAAACCTAGGAAGCCCCCGACCCCCGTGGGTATGTCGCAGGCCTAGAGGTTGACACCAACACCAATTTCGGCGGTGTGCCTACACCGAGGGAAAACGATCCCGATCTCGGTGATGGTGATAATGTTCTGGCTTCCAAGGTGGCCGAAACATTACCAGCAACGCCGAACATCTAGGATCATCTTCCCCCTTTGGAGGCAATCCCCTGTGTTGGTGTTGGTGCCAATTTCCAGGCCTCCAAGTATGGGTGTGTGCTGTTCTTTCGTCAGCCCGGGGCCGCCTGCAGGAGGACACGCCCGGTTTACACCTAGGAAGCCCCCGACCCCCGTGGGTACGGGTAGAGGAGGAGGAAGAGGGGGAGGAGGAGGAGGAGGGGGAGGGAGAGGAGGAGGAGGAGGAGGAGGAGGAGGAGGAGGAGGAGGAGGATGAGGAAGCCCATTTGGCCTCTGGCGGGCC